TTACATTGTTAATTAATACCCGAGACTCGTCGTGGTCGATAACTTGATACGACGCGAGGTTACCGCCGACGCGATTTCCTCATGTAACTTATGGATTTGTCTTGGACTGTCCCCCTTCGACATTGCAGGCGGTTGTTCGGTCGTCAACCGTACCAGACCATATTCGATATTTGTCTGTCGAAGGAAACTTGCAGTTCGAATTTCGGTGACAAACCACAGAGACGAACCTCCTCATTGAAATTTTCTTTACCGCTCAAGCAGCACTGGCCATTTACTGTTTTGGATAAATTTTTGTAAGAGCTTGAAGTAATTTTGAGTAATTTACTTTTAGATCATGGGAAAGTGTTAAAGAAGGAGCGCGTTACATTGCACTAAATTTTTTATGAACTTTTATAAGTTATTTTCTTTTATTATGTAAATGACTGAGAGCTTATTAAACGAGTGTGAGGTCATTGCCGAAGTGAAGCAGAGACTGCAGAGATGTTGTATTCCAGGATGGTAGAGAACAAATTGTGAAAGAGGTCGCGCTTCGTCTATCCGGATGGAGTATTCATTGGTTTTCAGTGGCATAGGGTTTGTGGTGGCTAGATGTAGTGCTGTCAGTACTGACTTCGCCAGTGTAATAAGTCGTTCGAGTGAGTTCCAGTAGATATCTATATATGTTAAAGAGAAACAGCGGATGTCACTTCGATCCGATCGTCCAAACCTCTTCGCATATGCACATTTTGTCGCACACTCATTTCGTACTGTAATAACTGTGCTAACTGACGTGTTCTGTAAAAGAGTATCACTGCGCTAAGGTGCGTTGGTTTCGCGTTACGTGACGTGCTGATTTAGGAATCGATCTACACCGGACCAGCGACTGTTTCGTGTACTGGTGTGATCCTCGGCGAGGGATCATTTGGGGCTTGAATTTCGTAGCGCCGATCGACGCCTCGCGTTTCATCAGCATTTTAGTACGTATGTTTTTTCGGTTCGTTTGCCCGTTGGTGGTACGGTAGAGTATGTTTGCGGTCCTCAACTCCTTTGCCGGCTGGCAATCGATATGCTATTACATCATGCATTGCAATACAGCACGCTTATAAACGGAGTTAACGAGTATTAGGTATACTCTTTCACAAACTTCGAATGTCACCTGGTCCGTAATGAACCCTTGCCAGGTGTGTGCGTGAGGGTGCTTGCAGACACACCAACAAATAACAGTGACAAATCAAAATATGTAGAGAAATTTTATTAATGGACTGACCCTCCTGAGACTGTTGACCCCGTCTATCATTATTATCACAGTGATTCATATTAAAAACATCATATGCTCCTCTTTAAGTTTAATATTACTACAAGACAAGTACTTTTCTGCATATGCATTTCATGAATTTGTTGTGCAAATTCAGAGTTCTCCGAATAGTCAAAATACGGAATTTCTCCAAATATTTTTCTTGCTATGAAGTCGTTCACCGGTAAATTCACATGGTGAGTCTGTCAGCGATCAAAACCCCACAAAGCGCTTCATTTCTCTGAATCCTTTGGTCTGGGGAGGCATTCGCTGTAGTTCATATGGTTGTGAGTGGTCTTTTATAATGTTATATAGCAATGCTTTTAGAACTTATACTGACAACACTATT